TTGAGTGGGGAGACCCCAATTGATCTTCTGATCAGTGCCTAACCATCCCGTGAAGGCTCAGGTGAATGATAGGGTGTGACCTTGACAGTGATTGGTTCCTCTTCCTCCCTTACCATGCCACCCACCCTTGTTGTCTTTAAAAGGGGCTGCTCTCTGTTAATAAACGAGTTTTTCTACCTGCTGGATTTGGCTCCCCGCTGTGTCTGATTGTCTCCTGGGCTGAGGGAGGCTAGGGAACGGGCGAGCGCCGCACTTACCTTTCCTCGGACCCCGTCCGTCTTTCGTGGGACGGACGAAGACCCAACACCACTCTCTTGTGAAGTGGTGGTATTTTTTCTCATTTTACAGATGCAAATGAAAGTGAAATTGGAAATCAACTAATACACAAAGATGACAATCAAGATGGAGTAACAGACCAGTTTAATTTTAAGTTCTCACTTAAAATACATTAAAAAGATTTTTAGAGGGTACTCCCATTTAGGCCTTGCATTTGCTAGGCTGGAGCTCTACACTTGGGCTATGCCTCCTGTCCTGTTATTTGTAGTTAATTTAAAATGAGGCCTTGCTTCCTGCCCAGATGTGAGCCTCCTGCAATGCCTCTTCCAGGCTTCCAGCAGGTGCACGCCCAGCTTGACTCCATGGAGATGGAGTCTTGTGGACTTCTCCACATGGGCTGGCCTTCAACTGTGAGCCTCCCAATCTCTGCCTCCCACATATACTGGGATGACAGGTACATGCCACAACACCCAGCTATGGGCTGAGAAAGGAGTCTCAAGATCTTTTCTGCCTGGGCTGGCTTTAAACTGTGATCCTCCTAATGACAGCCTCCCAAGTAGCAAGGATTACAGGCATAGGCCACCAGTGCTCAGCTTATATGAAACATTTTCAATGAAAGACAGTGAAAGGGGTGTGTGTGAGAAAGAGCCAGAGAGAGCAAGACAACAAGCCAGAGGGGGAGGAGTACATACGGAGAACTGCAGAGGTGTTCAGGTCTGATCCTGACACCTGATCACCATCACATGAAGCAACTGCCCAATACCAGATAGATTGAGAGTCACATGGGAAAACTAAGTCCCTACATGACTGCTCCCACCAGTCAGAAAAGAAAACCTCACCATGGGTGGTGGATGGGGTTCAATACAAATGAGGGCTTTGCTTCATAATGCCTCAAAGTAACTTGTGTGCCCCAATATAAGGCTCAAAAGCATAATGGGAACACAAGAATATCCAGTGTTAGCCGGGCACTGGCTGCTCACGCCTATAATACTAGCTACTCAGGAAGCTGAGATCTGAGGATCACGGTTCAAAGCCATCCTGGGCAGGAAAGACCATCAGACTTTTATCTCCAATAAACCACTAGAAAACCAGAAGTGGTGCTGTAGCTCAAGCGGTAGAGCGCTTGCCTTGAGCTGAAGAGCGCAGGGACAGTGCCCAGGCCCAGAGTTCAAGCCCCATGACCGACAAAAAAAAAAAAAAAAAAAAAAAAATCCAGTGTACAGCAAGGTAAAATCACAATGCCCAGCACCCATTACAAAAACTATCAGGAGCCGGCCGTTGGTGGCTCACGCCTGTAATCCTAGCTACTCAGGAGGCTGAGATCTGAGGATCATGATTCAAAGCCAGCCCAGGAAGGAAAAGCCATGAGACTCTAATCTCCAATAAACCACCAGAAAACGAAGTGGTGATATGGCTCAAGTGGTAGAGAGCTAGCTTTGAGCTGAAGAGCTGAGGGACAGTGCCCAGGCCCAAAGTTTAAGCCCCACAACTGACAAAAACAAAACAAAAACAAAACAACAACAACAAAAAACTATCAAGAATGGAAAAAAGCAGGAAACAGACCCATCACCAAGGGCAAGCTCAGTCAATTGAAGCAGTCCCAGAGAATGGAATCAGCAATATTTAAGAGTAACAAAACTTTTGAACGTTAATGCGGCAGAGTAAATAGCTTTAATGGACTGTACGAAGTGATGACTTTAAGCACAAAGAAAACAAATAGTCTAGTGAGTTGAAATACATTAGATCAATGCAAATCCGTAGGTCCATAATACTACAAAAAGGAAGACAGTGAAACTCTTCAGTCACTATTTGAAACAGTTATAAAACAACTAGCAATTATCCTGAATTTTCATAGAAACTAGCACTCAAGATAGCTAACTAGCTCTCCAGCTGGTAGAAGTTGCTACTCTACAGAAGAAATCAGCACAGCACATGTAAAACATCATATATTCAGGCAGGATCTAACAACTGGTGATAAAGCACTAGGTGAATGGATGGTAGTGCTGAACTCACACCAAGTAGATTACTTTCTGGTCAGAAGGTGAAAACATACAACTTAACGGGACAGGGGCTGTTCTGATTAGTGGACTGAGCAAATCCCCTTGTCTTGTGAAGTGATATAACACAAAACATATAGCACTGCCTACCCCAAAGGTCCAATTTTGAGTCCATTAAGCCTTGAGGCCTAATGGGCAAATTGTCAGAGATGTAGAGGACAGAGGAACAATCAGCATCATAAGAAAACCACCAGATGATAGGAATTCTAAAGGACAACTGGCTAAGTCAAGAGTTTTCAAGTTTTTTTTAAATGTATGGACCATGTGGAAAGCAAGACTTAAAGGACATAATTAGATGTAAGGCTCGTTTCCAGCATGGACACCGTTCATTAACAAGCCATCAAGGGCATTTGGGTCAGGAGGAAGAAATTAACCTGATAGGTGAGAAAGAAATTTGTTGGAAAGGTAAGAATTATGAAATTTAAATAAGGTTACAAACAGTGCACATCACATCTATTTGTACTTGTGTATAAACCCAGGTGCACACAAGAGAAAATAATATGCACACATAGACAGCTGCGATGGTGGGAAATGTGATCCTTTAATCAGTAATTGCTGACTACAAAATGGTAAGTTCTGGTTTTATAATAGGTGCTTTTTTTGCTGTCGATATATAATTTTTTTTTGGTCAGTCATGGGGCTTGAGCCCTGGGCTTGGGCGCTGTCCTTCAGGTCTTCAGCTCAAGGCTAGCGCTTTACCTCTTGAGCCACAGCACCATTTCCGGTTTTCTGTGTGGTTTATTGGAGATAAGAATCTCACGGACTTTCCAGCCTGGGCTGGCTTTGAACTGCAATCCTCAGATCTCAGCCTCCTGAGTAGCTAGGATTATAGGTGTGAGCCACCAGCATACGGCTTGTTGTCAATATTTTGCTTTTTACATGTCATCCTTGGAAACACAGACCAGTAAGAAGCAAATTCCTACATCTAACAACAAAGCCTACAGCACAATCAGGCCATGGCTCTCTGAATAAGACCTGACTCACTTCTCTGATTTCTCCTTAAGTAGGTAAGCCATGGTCTAAGTAAGCAACTATTGCTGCACAACACAGGAATAACTCCAGGGGAGAGACAAAGAAGATGAGCAATAACTGGACTTTCCTGGAGTCTGCCTACACGCATCTTGGAAGGTGGGCCCAGCTTGAGAATGAACAAAATTAAGGTTGTTTCTGTTGTTGTTGTTGTTTTTTAATCAAGCCAGCAATCAAATGCACAAAGGAAATATGAAAGTCCAAAAGATACCCAGTAGTGGTGCCCAGGCACCTGTGACCCACCATTTCCTTCCAGAAGTCACTGGAGTTCTATAAAGACAGTAAAGGCCACCGTTTGGTATGCCCATCTAACCAAAAGGCATGAAATGTACCTTTTACCATTGGGATCTTGGGGAAAGGTGCTGTGTGCAGCCAAGGGTCCATCTTTATTACTACATGAGCAATTCTCCTATACTCTGTCTTGCTGTCATTTAGCCATTCCTGTCAGGGCCTATCAAACAGTTGCACGCTAACACTTAGTTTCCTGCTCAGAAGGAAGCAAAAAGGGACCTCAGGAACTTGGTAACTGGGAGCCTCCACAGCAAGACTTCCCGGTGGGCTGGCCGGGAAGATAAATGGGACGTTACCATTGTTGTTCACAAGACAGGAAGGCTGTCTCAAGGAGGTTGAGGATTTTCCTTTCTCTTTTGGTGCAGCTCATTCTCAGGAATAAGAAAATGAGTCTTTATTAGAAATTTCTCAGTCATTCAACATTTAATAATCAGGAGCCAACTGTGTTAGAAAGAGAAAACAAATGTAAACAATATCTGATTCCTAGACCCAGAAGATTTTGGTCAGAATTAAGAAATGAAGATTAAACTCTTCCTCCAAACAGCCTAGACTAGGTTATCAAATCCTCTTAAGTAAAACAACCATTTCAGCTCACAATATAGAACTTTCACCTATCTTGGAGCTGGGAATGTGACTTTGTGGTAGAATGCTTGCCTAGCATGCATGAAGCCCGCGCATGAGCACGCGTGTGTGTGCATGCGCGCGCGCACACACACACACACACACACACACACACTCTCTCTATAATTTCTCCAAGTGCTTAAAAATAAATGGCTTTACAATTTTCCAAATAAAACTTCCAATCCAGTCATTGTCAATAAGCATTCAGCAATAACTAAACTACTCAAATTCATCTACACTGATTAATAAAAACTAACGGCAGCTGCACTATTTTTCTCAAATTGCTCCACTGATCTAAGTTTTCTAGAAACAACATAGTCAGTGTAAGTTCTAAGTGTCTGGATCTACTTGTGACTAGCACCTGCGTTACTCTGTCCGTGAGCAAGGGGAGCCACATACCACAGTCCTGATCCAGCCAACGCTTTGATGCCAACCTCAACCACAGGCCTCTTGTCTTTTTTACATGCCCTCATTTCAGAGACTACTTTCCACTTCCATGGCTGTACTCTTAACGCAACTGACTCTCAGTAACTCTCAATACCTTGTCTCTTGGCATACAATTAGTTTTGAAAACATTCTTTAGTAGCTTAACAGGTGGGTGCTTTGTTAATACCAACAGAAATGCCACACAAAAATCTTCAAAGCTACTTTGATCATGCTTCCAGGGAATGCAAGAGCTGCCATCATAAAAGCCCCCAGATACCCTCTGCCCTGAGTCAGACATACCTGGTTAGCACTGCTGGCCGCGGATGAACTGGCTTGTGCTGCTGTACTTGCTGAGAGGGAATCGAGAAAGGCTTGGTCAGCCACAGAATTCCCACAAGAAAATTGGTCTTTTCCATCACTGGGTAAAATCTAAATGTTAGAAAGAACTAGAATTAGTTTTACACATGGGGATCACTTCAGAAGGAGAGCTTCTTAAGACATGCAAGAAGGACCATCAATTATGGAAAAAGGTTTTTACATGTCTGTCACGTATTACAGAAAAGGGGTTTTAAACTCTTGAATGCTATACATTTTCCTCTAAGTACTGCTTTGACTGCATTCAGAAAATTTAGTACATTGTATTTTTATTTTAATTTGAATTGTTTTATAACTTCTCAAGATTTAATTGGCACATGTAATTTGGAAATGTGTTGCTTAATTTCCAAGTATTTTAGAATTTTCAAGTTATCTTTCTGTTAGGGATTTTGAGTTTTATTCCACTGTATTTTGGGGTTGATCTACTGATATTTCATTTTTTTAATGAAAAGCATATATTTAAAAAATTTAAACTTAAAAAATTATAAAAATTTTAGCCACATGTTTGTGGTTCACACCTGATCCTATCTACTCAGGAAGTTGAATTCTGAGTATCAAGGTTCAAAGCCAGCCTATGCAGACAAACCTGAGAGACTCATATCTCCAATTAACCAACAAAAAACTGGAAGAGAAACTGTGACTCAACTGATAGAATGCTAGCCTTGAATACAAAAGCTCAGGGACAGCACCCAGGCCCTGAATTCAAGCCCTAGAAACCCCCCCCCCCACTCACTCTCACACACACACACAAACACACACACACACAATTTCAAATTTTACACAATTTTAAATTTTAAAGGTAAACGTGCATCCGGCTTTGATGGATGCCCAGGCATCCATCACATCAATTCGCTGATGGAATACTATGGAGTTCAACTGTGTTCTTACTGATTTTCTACCTGTTGGATCAGTCCATTTCTGATGGCGGAGAAAGACTAGCCTTAAAAGATAAGCAAATCTGAAAATTCTGAAATAATTCCTTTCTAAAAGCAGAATTTTAAAAAATATAATCAATGCTAATTAATGAATGCTAACTTAAATCCTTAGTTGTTTTTCTCAGTCTTGTCCATTTTAGGATTCCAGATGCTCAACGAATTTTCAGCAGGATATGAAGCTCAGAACTGTGCGCTGGGTTCAGAGGCTATACATCACCTGCAACCATGTACATTTTCACACTTTTATAAGGAAAATCTACAGATTTCATCAAATTCTCCAGCAGGTTTGAGGTTCTAAGCCTCACTATCAAGAACAACAAAATTCAGCCCGCCCCTCAGTCTCATTTTGCAGACAGATCCAGACACATCTTCTGGAAGTGAACCAAATAAAGTGCCTTAAATCTCAAACTATCTCCAGTTGATTCACAGGTGTACCAGGCAACTCTGGTTACTTTCTGTCACCCAAGTTTCAGATGAGCTTACCAAGTACCTAGCATTGGTTTTGAGGGATCAAAAGCCAACCAGCAGGGGGTGGTAGGCAGCTGACTGAAAAGAAGTGGTGTGTTCAGGCAGGGACATGCCTACAGGATACCGTGATAATATCTTTGGCACTTACTATGTAGGATTCATGCCAGGCCATCTCCTCAGAAGCCCATTCAGCATACCTTTCTGTCTATGGAAACATGGAAGGGAACTGAGGGAATATCTTTTCAGAAAAATCTATTTAAATGTTGTGAATTAATTCTACATCAAACAAGAGATGTGAGCAGCAGCTATTACACAGCATCAGCAAAAGAAAAATAGTCACTCCTGCTTAGAAAAATTAAGTTTCTATCTTTGGAAGGAACTTTTTCTAAACATGTCGTCACTCTTTGGAGCTTGGGTCTATAGATAATACCTTTGTTTAGTTCTAGTTCAGTGTATTTTCCAAATTGTATATAGTAAGCACATAGCACAATGGGGATTTTATGTTTTAAAGAGCTGCTTCCTGGCTGTTCTTTCACAAAGATCACTGACAGTGAGCCCTTACCTCCACATAGTCTGTGGGAACAAGCCCTTGTTCTCCTTTGTTGTTTCTTCCTTCCAGCCATCCTCCACCAATATCCTAATAGTTACCAAAAAAAAAAAAAGAAAGAAAAAAAGAAAGAAGTTACCTTAGAATGGAATTGTTATAAATTCATTCATAAATTGTTATTAATATAAGTTGTTCACTAAAAAGTAACATTAGGCATTTTATAACTACAAAGCTAACACTGAAAAATTGTAAATTCTTTATTTTTTGTCAGTCGTGGGGCTTGAACTCTGGGCCTGGGCACTGTGCCTCAGCAGTTCAGCTCAAGGCTAGCACTCTACCTCTTGAGCCACAGCGCCACTACCAGTTTTCTAGTTTATTGGAGATAAGAGTTTCATGGACTTTCCTGCCTAGGCTAGCTTTGAACCCCAATCCTCAGATCTCAGCCTCCTAAGTAGCTAGGATGACAGCCGTGAGCCACCGGTACCTGGCTAAATTTTAAATTCTTAAGACTTTTCTACTCCAGAAAATGATGTAATCTAAAACCAAGACCTACTGAACTTCAACAGTAAGTGACTATGTGTAGTCACTGTGATTCCCTTCTATCCACTGGTGTCTGGTGGGTAGATGACCAAAGTGGTTTGCAGCTCTGTCAAGCAGAGGAGCTTATATCCCACCTCGCTCTGCTTTATACAGGATAAGGTAGAGATTGTCCAGGGGTGTTTGGAGTCTGGCTACAAGGGGCTCTGTCCCTATCACTCACCCTCGTAGAACCCCAAGACACTATGTGAATTAATTTGAGTTGCCAATGATGAGCTTCCCTGATGCCCACTCATCCAAAGGCAGCCCACCAAGACAACTGGGTGAGACCACACTGGGCTGCCAGCCAGGACAGATAGCTGCTGACACCAGCATGGCCAATCAGAGTTATTCAGCTGATTCACAGACTAGTAGCGTATGGGTATTGGTTAAAACCACTATGTTTTGTTGCTGTTTTGTTTTCCAGTGTTGTGGATCAGACATGCTAGGCAAGCACTGTACAAATGGGCTACAATCTCCACCCAAAACCACGAGGTTCTCCTGGATATAGAATAGTATCAGACTACATTCTACATTGAGATTTCTATTTTTCAATTTATTATCTCAGCAGAGTCCCATTTCTTTGTGAAAAGAGTAAAGAATTTTATTAGGTTTGTAAATAATGCTATAATTAGTTAATAAGTATATGACTCTAGATAACTACAATTGTCCTCCTTGATTGAGACATGAAATTATATATGTTTATGGTGCACCAGGTGATATTTTAATAGTGTTCAAGTCAGGGTAAGCAGGTTTATATCTTTAAGCATTTATTCCTTTTTTGTGATGGATACATTCACAATCTTTCCTTTTACTTTTCTGGAACAAACAGCACATTATAGTTATCTAACCATATTATTTTTTTAAAAAAATCACTTAAATCACAACTTTTGTCACTCTTTTTTTTTTTTTTTTTACTATAACAGAACCTGAAAAACATAATTTTTCCATAGAAAACAAATACAAAAGAATTTTTTTGGGGGGTCCAGTTGTGGGGCCTGAACTCTGGGCCTGGGCACTGTCCCTCAGCTCTTCAGCTCAAGGCTAGCGCTCTACCACTTGAGCCACAGTGCCACTTCCGGCTTTTTTCTTTTTTCTTATGTAGTGCTGAGGAATTGAACCCAGGGCCTCAGGCATGCAAGGCAAGCACTCTACCACTGAGCCACCTTCCCAGCCCCACAAAAGAATTTTTATTCTCTTCTATAATTAAAAAGAGAACTGAACCAGACACTGATGACTACATTTATAATGCTACTCAGGAGACTGAGGTCTGAGAATCACAGTTTGAAGCCAGCCCCAGTAGACAAATACTTGAGACTCCTCTCCAAAGAACCAGTATGAAATGCATGAGTATACAATGGGTGTACACACGTTCACATGCCGGTGAGTGGTCAAGTGTTTGCGTGCATGTGCACGTGCGCACACACACACACACAAGTGAAGAAGAGAATCAGATGTAGAGTGTTTTATATACCTACAGCTGAGAGGAATCCCTGAGAGAGTAGTTTAGACAGTAGTGGATTTAAGGTAGAGAGACCAGACAGGAAAGTACAAGAAGGTCAGAGCTTAACTCACAGTGTTGACTGTAAAGACCGATGAGAAAAGAAAGCCTAGATGTAAACAAGACCAAGAGTAAATCAATGGCTTCCTGTGAATTCAAGTCTGGAATCCTAGTTGGGGTGACTGAAAAGATGCAGCAGCACAGTAGAAAGGAAAATTCAGAAACAGAATTAGTACAGCATAGGTGATGAGCTGGCGAGTACCATGGATAGCTGAGTTTGACACACCTGTCAAGAAACTACATGACACACCGGGACAGGCAACTCCAAGGCCTGCACAGCCTGGTCAAGCTGCACTGCAGACACTACAGTTCCAGCACATGGGTAACAAGAATGGAAACCTTACAACATAGGTAAGGGAGAGAGGCCAGAGGCGGCACGGTATGGCAAAGCCCACATTGCCAAGGCAGAAAGAAGATTCCTAAAAGATGGCTAGGGCAAATGAGGAGGAGACTCAGACATAATCACTTTCCCTAGCAGGGCACACTCCATAAGGGAAACAGGCCTGCAGACCACTCTCCATAGAGAGGGCAAGGCAAGTTTCCTATTTTTGTGTCTGCATGTATACATGTATTCAGCATGGGTGACTGAAGTGAGGGAGAAGACACGAGACACCTTGCAGAGTGGATTTTCAGTAGTGGAAGGGGCTCAGGAACACAGACCAGACACTACAGAAGCCCTGCCATGAAATCAACCACACTCAAGGTGTTGGGAGGGAAGAAGTATAATGAGAGTAGCAATGAATAAAGTTCAGCTCATTTAAAAATGACAAAGACTAAATCTGCATACCTGCTTTTGTCCCTTCTTCAGCTATGTAAGCCCTGAAATACTAGTAATTGGGACGCTGTTCTTAGAACTGTATTTCATAGGGGGTTCATCCTTACAATTTGTTATACACTTTAAAGATATTTACAATAAAGCTTTATGTAAAAAGGACATGGGCGCCTGTGGCTCATGCCTGGAATCCTAGCTACTCAGGAGGCTGAGATCTGAGGATCACAGTTCAAAGCCAGCCAATAAACCACCCGAAAACTGGAAGTGGTGCTGTGGCTCAAATGGGAGAGCCCTCGCCTTGAGCTGAAGAGCTGAGGGACAGCGCCCAGGCCCATTGTTCAAGCCCCACGACTGACCAAAAAAAAAAACCCAAGAACCACATTTGCTTCTGAGTTTCCTGACAACAAAGATCATAAAAGAAATCCAACAGGCTGGATGCAATGTCTCGTGCTTGTGTATCTAGCTAGTTGAGTGGGTGAGATCAAGATTACAGTTTGAGGCCAGCTTGGACAAGTTCACAAGATCCCATCTAAACCAACAAAAGTTGGGCACATTCAAACCAACTATGTGGAAAGAGAAAACAGCAAGATTATGGTTTATGCCCACATGAACAAAAAGTGAGACTTAAAAAAAATAATGAAAGCAAAATGGACAAGTACATGGCTCATGGTTCAAGTTGTAGAGTGCCTTTCTAGCAAGTACAAGGCCCTGAGTTCAAATTCAATGGGAGAGAGGGAGAGGTAGAGAGGAAGGACAGAAGAAGAAAAGAATAGAAAGATAGAAAAGAAAAAAGAAAAATGAATCCAGTAGTTTATCTAAGCCAGGCATGGTGGCTTACACTTTTAATCACAGCTAATGTGCAGGTGAGATGGGTAAGATCAGTTTGAGGCCAGTCTAAGCAGAGATGAGACCTCCCTCTCAATCACTTAGCCAGGATTAGTAGCCTGTGACTGTCACCTCTGCTATGCAGGAGGTCCTAGGACAGAGGATCACAGTCTAAGGCTAGTCCCAGGTAAACCACAAAATTCTACTTCAAAATAATAACTAAAGCAAAAAAGGGCTGAGGGTATGACTCAAGTTGTAAGGCCTTGAGTTCAAACCTCAGTATTACCAAAAAAGAAAGGAAATTTAAACATTTCATTTAATGAAAGGAAATACACCAAATTTCTAAGAAAAAAGAAGCTGCTGTAACAGATGGGAAGAGACAGAAATATTCCAGCTATGTGAGCAGATACACATATGTAAGGATGAGTATTCAAAGTACAAATTAGTAATTACAAATGAGTATTCAAACTACATAATCAAATGTAGTTTGTAAAGATGCAGAAATACAGAGTTATTTTGTATTTGAATTCAGCAATGATAACTCTTATCAGGAGCTGAGCTAATCCAGTCTTAGTATACACTGCTTTTTGGTAATCTAATTTAAGGATAAAGCTTAGATCTAAGAGGGCGATCAGTGAGTAAGTGGTTCAGGAAAGTCAGTGGTCTCTGATGCACTCTAGAGACAGTGCTGGGAGAAAGCACGGTGCACCAGGCTCCAGAACCACTACAGAATGCCCCAAGCACTATAAATAATAGAGAGAAGATAAACTCGGCTGTACACTCAGCTGTCCTTAGAGGACTGAAGTTTTCAGTTTGTGTAACAGTTTCTAACTGTATCACCAGTACTTCATAAGCAACAGGTTAAAAAAAACAACAACATTGTGTGGGCTGACTGGCCAATTTATCAAAACCTCAGATCTTACACAGAGCCCACGGAGGGGGGGGGGGTTTGGGGGGGGGGGGGGTGTGGCCGGACGCAGCCAGTTCTCTTACCGGGTTTGTAATGGTGATGATCTCTCCTTCACTAACTGTCAGTTCATTATTTCCAGGTTCAGCAGCAAAATCATACATAACCCGAGCCTGTTGGGGTGAAGGAAAAGAAAGTGTTACAAATGAAACCTCAACAATAAAAACCCAGACAAGCTTTATAGCTGGCCTTGTAAGAAAGCACACGGCTATGGCAGATTTAGAAGAAAGGAAGACACGTTATCACCTCTGGCTACATCCCCTAACTCAGTCTTGGAAGCACAGATGGTTTCTGGAAGCTGTCCACACTGCATTTAGAGATTTGCTCTGACAGTAACTCCACATACAGCCCTTTCATTTTCACACACACACACACACACACACACACACACACACATGCACGTGCACACACCTTCCTTTTAGGAGTATGGGACAGAGAACTGCAGATGTTGCTCTTTCTGGGAACACTCACAGGGATGCATGGACTGAGGAGGTAATTAATGACAGACATGCTGCTAAATCCGTTCATCTTTAGAAGAAGCCTTTTCTATTAAACTCTCGCCATGCAGGATCGTGTATGCCCTTAGATACTGCCAGGAAAACATGTCACTTTTCTTTTTTCTTTTTAACAGTGCTGGGGATAGAACCTAAGGCCTTGCACATGCTAGACAAGCATTCTACTGAGCTACATCCCCAGCCCAAAAGCTTTAAAATTTATAATGAGTACATGTTTCTAATCTATTTCAGTACCTTAAAAAAAGTGTATTTCATAGATTACTACCCTAAGTCTATCCTGTAACTTGCCTAGGAAACACAGTGTTTGTCTAGAAGGCAAATTCAAACACACCTACAGGACTAGGTAAGCAGGACAGCAGAGCTGCATCCACTTAACAAATCTTCACTCAATACCAAGCACGTGGCAAGAGCTTGCTAGGCCCTTCTGCCCATCACTGCCATTCTGTGCCTGAAATTAGTCAAATGGTGGATAAAGGATTCTCAACTAATGATAAAAGATTAAGGCGGGAAACCATACTATCTTTATATGCACAAAATAAAATAAATGGACTGCTAAGTATGTGATAAAGCAGGTGTAAAAGGTTATAGAATTTAGATGATGAATTTATTGTGTCCAATGGAAAAGTATTGCTACTTCCTATATCTGACATTTTGACTAATAAAATGCTGGAAAGAATCAAATGGTAGGAGAGGCTGCCATTTAAAGGAAAATCGCATCAGCTCTGGGCTTGAGGAGGAGGAAGGGCTGAAGGACAGAGGCAGGCAAGCAAAGCTGGCCAGCCCAGCGTGGCCGAGTCAAGACAAAGGACAAAGAAATCACGTGGAGGTATTTTCCTCACACAGCTGCAGATTGAATTCTGCTTGTCATGTTGTGGGATATTTTTCAAAACCATGTCACATCAACCTCAGTCTTCGTGCACTGGGGCAGCTAAGAGATAAATGCTTGGGGGTGCCCCAGGAAGGAAGTGAGCTTCCCTGGAGAGGAGCCCAGTGTGCGAACTGAGCCAAGCTCCGGGCTGGCAAGAGAAATCCGCTGTTTTACCATTCCTTAAGAATCCTGGTAAAGTTTTTTTAAACCCCAAACCCAACTAGTTCCCAATACAGAATTACTAAACTTGCAATCTGGTCAAATGGAATATGATACAAGTCAAAAACAAATAGCTACTCATTTAGATACTGTGCACATTTACTCACTGCTATGGTTTGAATGTTTCTGTCACTTCTACCGCTCACATTGAACCTTAATCCCAATGTGGCACTGTTGCCAGGTAGGGTGGAAGTGGCCCAATGGGAGGTGTTTAGCTTAGGAGGGCTGAGCCTCAGGATCACACTACCATCAAAGGGGCTTGTAGGAAGGCTAACAGAACCAAAATCGCTAGACCATATTCCTCTAGCTCCCAAGCTGCACTCATAAACATGCTACATGTGATGCTGTACACTTTTAAAACAGGCAAAATAAGTAAGTCAAAGCTGGAATAGTTTAGCACTGTTCATCCCTTCCAGTGAGAGACCTGAAGGTATCGTTTTAAATATATGCATCTGCCACATCTGTGTTCTTTCTTTCTTACACACACACACACATTCTCTCTCTCTCAAAAACAGAACCAGCTAGAACCACAGTATACAGCCTTCCACATTTCATTTGCAACTGACTCTTTGAGCTCTCCTATCAGCACATTGACCCTTGTTTATCACAGGTAGGTTACTAATCCACTTTTCAACCTCTGTGGCAAAGCACAGAGAAATTCACTGTGGCTAAGGAAGTCACCTCTAGCCTCAAACTGAAATAGCTGTATTTTTATTCTAATTGTAAGGCTACATCTTTTTTTTAGGAAAATAAAAACTACACAGAAAAGATGAAAGGCGGTAGTGCCCAAATGTCAAACTCCAGAGGCAGGACAGGAACTTGCCCAGTGAGAGGGCTCACCAGCACTGCGTGCAGGACGGACAGGGCATCCAGGACACACAGCGCATGTGATCCACACCCTGTAGAGGGAGAAAGGTCACTTTCAGCCCCTTGCGATTATGAGCGGGCTTTGGAGCTAGGCACTAGTGTCAGATCCCCATGACACCATTTCACCGGCCTTAAAAACTGGCCAATCCTTACCCCCTCAAATTCCTCAAGAATAAGATAAGGATAACAGCATGTGCCTTGTGACAGGGCGGGAAGTGAAGTAATAAAAACAAAGTGCAGAATGGTGGCTGGCAGAGCAGCAGTAAATGCCAGGTGAGGACCTTTGAGTTTTTAAACATTACATACACACTGTGCATGTACTAAAGTAAAATGGTGGCACACAGGTAACTACTTCCTTGCTGCAGCTACTGGAAGTAGCTTTGGGGTTCCATGAGAAAGTACAGCCCCCAGCTACTGATTTCCCATACAAGGTGTTTCTGTAATCCGCTTTTTAGCTTAGGCCCATTCCACGCTGTCTCAGCCATAGTGTGGCCCTGCAGGCCTGGTGCAGACGTCAGTGGCGGAGTGGGAGATACAGCGGCTTTGGTGGTCTGGAGGGCAAAGCAGAAAAAAAGTCTACCAGACCCCATCTCCAATTCACCATTAAACTCCTGGGCTGGAGGCGTGGACCAAATAGTAGAGTACCAGCCAGGCGCAAACAAAGTAAGCAAGAGAAGAAAGCTCTGAGTTCAAGCCCCAGTATCAACACACATCCACAAAATGACTACAGTTGTAAAATGCAACCAGTGACATGAGAAATGGCACTATTGGACTCACTGAGAGAGGACTAGACATTCCACAGAAATGGCATAGGGACACTTGAAGCCACAGTACCAAGAACCACAAGCAGAAAAGAAGGGCAGACCTTAGCAGCTGCGAGACAGTAACCTACTGTCCAGATTCACCAAACTGGAGTCCCAGGAAGGGGAGGAGGAACAGAAAGAGTCAGGTGAAGAAGTTAGTCAAGTTCTCCAATTGGATGAATGAATACCTGTACTCCACAAGTCCTAGTAGCAAAGTAAGTCCCACATGGGAAAAATAAAGTCAGCCAAACAAGACATCACAATCAAATTGTAAATAAGTAAAGCATTAAAGAGATGAATCTTAAAAAAACAAAAAACAGGGGGGGGGGGGAGAGAAAGCAAATATGTTATAGATAGAGGAACAGCATGTGAAATGTTTACAGAGAAAAAAAAATGAAAGACTTCTCACCAGGAGCAAAGTCAGTCAAAAGCTCTGCTTAAAGTGCTCAAAAATAACAAACCAACCAACCTAGAACTCTATACCTAGAAAAATATTGGCAAAATGGAAGTGGCGCTGTGGCTCAAGTGGTAGAGCGCTTGCCTTGAACAAAAAGAAGCTCAGGGAAAGTGCTCAGGCCAAATTCAAGCCCCAGGACTGGCAAATAAATAAATAAATAAATGTGTGTGTGTGTGTGTGTGTGTGTGTGTGTGTACACACACACACAAAAATGTTGGTTAGCTGGGCACCGGTGGCTCATGCCTATAATCCTAGCTATGCAGAAGGCCAGGATCTGAGGACTGTGGTTCAAAGCCAGCCAGGGCAGGAAAGTCCATGAGACTCTTATCTCAATTGACCACCAGAAAACCAGAAGTGGGTCTGTGGCTCAAATGGTAGAGTGCTAGCCTTGAGTTGAAGAGCTGGGGGACAGTGCCCAGTTCCAGAGTTCAAGCCCCATGACTGACAAAAAAAAAAAAAAATCTTTCTGTAATTGTACAGTACAAAGGAGGTACAATTCAACAAATAAATGTATGAATACAATGCATCCTGATTGATATTTCCCCTCTCATCATTCTTTCCCATCTCTCCCAAGCTAACCCCTACCCTCAATTTTCCTCGTTTCATAGAACAGGCATTGAATATTATGACTGTATTCCCCTCCTTTTCCTTATGAGAGAGAATTTTGAAGATTCCCAACACAAATGATAAATATTTAAGGAGATAGAAATATGTTGATTTCAAAGTTGCACATTCTATACATCTATTATTAAACTGTAACTCATAAATATGTACAACTAGTGTGTCAATTAACAAAAGGTGAAATAAACATTTCCAGATAAACAAAAGCTGAGAATGTCACCAGTAAATTAACACTGTAGGAATTGTTACCGGAAGTTCCTAAACCGTATGAAAATGACAGTAGATTGGAAATTGAATCTATGCAAGAGAGAATCAAAATTGGTAGACATGTAATTCATGTTCAATTTCTATAAAATGTAACTAAATTTTCAAACAAGAATAACATACCATGAGATTCATAATTTTAAGAAATGTAACTTATAACCAAAAAACCCCACAGTGAACAGGAGGAGCAATGGAAGTACATTGCTTTAGAGTTCTTAGATATGAAGTACTATAATACTGCCTGAAGTTAGAATATGTTCAGATACAGAAGAATACTACGAACCTGAGAGCTAATTAACCTGCTAGTTAACTGGAGAGTCTCATGGATTTGTCTGCCAGGCTGGCTTTGGACCAGGGTCCTCAGATTGCAGCCCCCTGAGTAGCCAGGATTACAGGTGTGAGCTACCAGTGACCAGCTAAGGATTAACGTTTAAGTATGATGACAAGAATTTTGAGTATGTGGAGTTCCTTTAACTTTATTTTTGGAGATACGTAATAC